ATTTTATTTTTTGTGGGGCTATTACAAATGGAGTTGCTTTCCTAATTTCAGCCACACTTTTCTCATTGTTGGCATACAGAAAAGCCATTGATTTTGGGGGGATAATCCTATAACCTGCTACTTTGCCAAAGTTTTGAATCAGCTTGAGTAATTTGGGAGTGGAGTCCATGGGATTCTTTAAATACAATATCATGTCATCTGCAAAGAGGGAGAGTTTTATTTCTTCTTTCCCTATTTGGATCCCCTTTATGTCTGCTTGTCTTATTGCTGTAGCTAGGCATTCTAATACTAGATTGAAGAGAAGTGGATGTTTCTGCTCCTTTTCTAAGAGTAGAGACTAGAGACCATTATTAGAGACCATTTCACCACAAACAATTCAAGGAAACACAGGCTCCAAACAGAATGGGGCTGCTCAAGGGACCATCCTACAGGTCACAGTCATAATCTTGGACATGAACTTGGAGCCAGAAGAAACTATATTTACAAACTGACAATGAAAGCCAAGCTACATTCCTTAATCTCATTTTTATGGGATTTTTCTCAACAAGGGACTTTTTTTCTCCTCCCTCTCATGTATGTATTTACAAGCAGGCAAGAATAAGGGAGAAGATACTTACCCCAGCCTTAATGTAAATGGGGACAAAAATCCAGCCCAGAACAACCACAAGAACCAGAGCCTGAAACCAAAAGAAGAGGTGGATTCAAATCAGGAGATACTTTAACTCATCCCTGCTTAACTGAAAGACCCCTTGCTGCTAGAGGCAAATCAATCAGAATTTTCCTTTATGAAGCTCTGAGGACACACCTCACACCTTTATCAGGCTCTGCCCCACAGAAAGCTTAGAAGCTGCCCACAAACATCACAACCCTTAGAGTGCCATCCAGACCTGTGGATTCCCCTCTGCCTCCTTTCTGATTTACAATGTAAAATCCCATGGAGAGCTGGATGCTGGTAGCCCAGGCCTGAAATCCTAACTACTCAGGAGGCTGAGAGCTGAGGATCCGATTATAGTCTAAAACCAGCTCAGTCAGATAAATCAGACTCTTCTTTCCAATGAACCAACAACCACCCCTGCCCCAAGCAGGGGGGTATGGCTCAAGTAGTAGGATGGCAGCTTTAAGCCGAAAAGCTAAGAGAAAGCCAGAGGCCCTGAGTTCAAGTCCCAGTACTGGCAAATAAATAAATAAATAACATTTAGAGAAACATAAGAAGGGGCAGGGGGAAAATAATGGTAAACATCTCCAAACTGGCTAGAAGGGTAGTGAGGTCCTTAAGGTCCTTGTCTTTTTAACACCCAAGGAAAAAAAGGCCATAAACAGTAGGGGTGGGGGGACCATCTCCTGCTACTATGGTAAAAGGGAGGTAGGGTCCTGAGCTTGCCTCCATATACCCCACCCCTCCCATCTATGCTCCAGGTGTCTTTAAGGGACTCCCTAACCTCTCAATCTCCTCTACTGACTAAACTGGCTAAGTTCTAAGACTCTCTCTTGGATCTGATCTAACAAATGTCCACACAAGGTTTTACATCTACCTATTCCTTAGTTTAGTAGGAGGTGATGGGTCCTTTAAAAGGTGGGGCCTAATGGTAGGCCTTTAGGTTATTGAGAGCACTGCTCCGGAAGTGATGCCTTTCTCCTGGCTATAGGTCTGGAGGGAGGGTTGTTATACTAGTTTGAGCCTGAAAGTGGCGCTGTAGCTAAAGTGGTAGAGCTGAAGAGCTGAGGGACAGTGCTCAGGCCCAGAGTTCAAGCCCCACAACCAACAACAACAACAAAAAATTGAGCCTCAGCCTGGCACAGTGGTTCATGCCTGTACAATCCTAGCTACTCAGGAGGCTGAGATCTGAGGATTGCTTATTCAAACCAGCCAGAGCAGGAAAGTCTGTGAGATTCTCATCTCCAATGAACCATGGAAAAGCTGGAAATGGAGGTGTGGCTCAAGTGACAAGAGTGCCAAGCTTGAGAAAAAGTATGAAGAAATGGTCCAGGCCCTGAGTTTAAAAAAAAAAAAAAGCCCGATTGTGGTCTCACCCAGCTTCTCTGGCCCCCACATATGGGTGCCATGTTCTCTAGCTCTAATACATGCACCACCATTGCCATCTACTATGAGGGGGGAGGGGGGCCTTCTAAGAGTCTATACCAAACTGTTTGGACTTTTAATCTCCAACTATGTGCTCAACAGGGCTTCTTTGCTTTATAAGATTAGCTTGCCTCAGGTATTCTGTGGTAGTCATGATTGCCCAGTACAGGTTCTTTCCACCAGGAGGACTCCCTGGTTCTGATGATACTCACATTCCATTCAAAGCCCCCCATGGCAATTCCTGAGGCGGCGCCCGTCCCCGCCAGCCCGACGAAGTGCCCACTTCCGATGTTACTGGCGAACAGAGAGGCTCCGATCTGAAAAAACGCAAACACAAAGTCAGGTGAGGATGCCAGGCTTCACCAAGACCCTTGGGATGGGCCAAAGACAGAAGAGATACAGTCTGCCAAAGAAGGACGTGATAGCCCAGGGCAAGCTGGGGTCTTGACTGTGATGGCCTCTGTTTGAGTCACTTGTTCCCCTAAAAGGTAGGGGGGGAGTACCTTGGGAAATGGTGAAGGTGGAAAAGATTAGAGACAAAGCAGGGGGATGTATCCCTTCAAAACAGATCATCAGGGAGTCTTCTGTGAACCCCATACTAAGTAATGAAGACACAGGGAGGCCCCCAACCCATGAGCTCTCAGAAAAGTCTTCTCAAGGCTACTCCAGAGGGTTCAACTCCATGTCCTCTGGAGAGCCCGGGGCCTAGCGCCGTGTGCCAGTCAGGCTTCCGGTAACTAGTAGACAATGTTCTGGAAAGGAATCCTTTCAAAGAAACCCCTGGGCCTCAGTCACTGGTCAAATAGAGGAGCCTGGATGCCAGGCACCAGTGAACCACACCTGAAATCCTAGCCACTCAGGAGGCTGAGGTGTGAGGATTGTGGTTTGAAGACAGCCCAGGCAGACTCTCATATCCAATTAACCAGCAAAAAGCCAGAAGTGGAGTTGTGGCTCAAGTGGTAGAGCGCTAACCTTGATCACAAAAGCTCAGGGACAGTGCCCAGGTCCTGAGTTCAAGTCCTAGAACTGGCACACACACACACACACACACACACACACACACACACACAGTATATTTAATGCACCTAATCTACCAACACCATTGTCTCAGTCTAGCCAACATTAAGGTTTCTCAGAGCACTTACATTTTCACCCACAGTTGGGAAAAATCGTCGAAAACAAAGCCTGTTTTATAAGAAGGTGTTACATAACTCATAATTATGTTCTTAGTAGTACAGCATTAGATTTAATGGTTGATCCAGTGGAAGGTGATAAATTATAATTCATGCTTTTTATTATTCTCAAAATGTAATGGCTGCATTGGCAAGCTTTGATACCATCACAAAGTTGAAGAACTTTTATGTTTAACTGAACCCTGGTAGGTTGGAGATCAGCTGTATAATTGTTTTTGCTAAGAAGATGGGAGGGGGCTAAAAGTTAATTTTCTAATTTGTCCTTGTTAACTGATTCAAATTGTTTGAACATTCTATGGCACATACCAGTCACACAGGAGGGTTTGTTGTAACATTTCTACACATGCATGCCCTCATCAAAAACACCCCTCTATCACTCTCCCTCCCCTGACCCCCCCACTTCCAACACAATTTTAATAGATTGCACTGTGCTATTTTCATGTGTGTATTTTTCTAACGTCCCAAAGATGGTCCAAATCTAAAACAAAAATCTGTGTTTCCCAAAAGACACACTACACCAAGAAACTCTTCGAAAGCTACCTGCCCACCTGCTCAGAGTCATTCTTTCATGATTTATCACCTTTCCCTTGATCAATTATTAAACCTAATGCTGTACCATTAAGAACATCATTACCAGAAATGATTAACTGAATTAGATTAATCTTAAATTCAGCAAGCCTTCTCCCACCACCCTCCCCCCAGGGGGAGGGGGGCACCAATGGACTTTAACATATCTCAGGAGGTCCTGGCGCCCTCTCCTCATCCTCTGTGAGGGGAACAGAATGAAGCCAAAGGGTTGTTTGTTTGTTTGTTTGTTTTACAATACTAGAATGTTCTGGAATCAGCGTGGGTCCATTTCTCTCAAGGGTACCATCTTTAACTCATTCTCTTTTCCTTCCCTTTGCTCCATGAACTGTACACTCTAATTTACCACAATCTCTCATTCTGCTTTCACAAAGTCCTTGCTTCTAGCACTTTCTACATCACCCTTGGCTGCCTGTCTAGCTCTAGACAGAATTAGAACTGTGCAACGTTTGTTTGTTTGTTTGTTTTTTCTGTATGACCTCAAGTCGCACCTTCCTATCAGTCACCCCCACAAACACAACCACATAAGCAAGTTACCTCCCCAAAGCACAACTGGGGTTATATCATTGTCCTGGCTGCCACCCCGTCCTAGGGACCTAGCGGGTGACCTTTTTGACAGCTCCAGGCTAAAAGGCCTAAGTCCTAAGAACTCACCAAGATTTTAAAGTAAAATTCTTTCCACTACAAAGACAGCATGAGCTTAAAGGGAAAAAATAATCACTTGAGACCAGCACTGGTGGTTCATGCCTGCAATCCTAGCTACTTAGGGAGCTGAGATCTAGAGGATTGTAGTTCAAGGCAGAAAAGTTCGCTAAGCTCCATCTCTAAAATAGCCAGCAAAAAACAGGGCTAGAGGTGTGACTCAAGTGGTAGATTGCCATTCAAGCAAGACCCTGAGTTCAAACCCCAATACTGGAAAATAGGTAGATAGAGGGCTGGGAAGGTGGTTCAGTGGTAGAGTGCTTGCCTTGCAGGCATGAAGCCCTGGGTTCAATTCCTCAGCAAAAAGCCAGAAGTGGTGCTGTGGCTCAAGTGGTAGAACCCTAGCCTTGAGCTGAAGAGCTGAGGGACAGTGCTCAGGCCCAGAGTTCAGGCCCCATTATCGACAAAAAAAATAGTAGCTAGATAGATAGATATGAGAGTTAGACATAGATATAAGTTAGAATGTTTTCCTGGCCTCTTACTATCTGGGTGCTCACATCTGGGGACTTCGCATCTCCTCTGTTGCCAGGATTGTGCAGGATCCAAAGGAGATGAGGAATTAGTAATGACTGTAAGCTGGCTGACCCTACTTAGTGTCCCTTTACTCCAAGTTCTCCCAAAAAGACAATTATTTCACCCTTCAAGAAAAGTCTGAAGGACTCCATCCCCAAATAATCAGCAAAAAGCTGGTCTGGAGGTGTGGCTCAAGTGGTAGAGCACCAGACATGAGCAAGAAAGCTGAAAGAAAATGCAAGGCCCTGAGTTCAAGCCCCTCAGTACCAGATGGCGGGTGGGGGAAATAGTTATAAAGCCTGTATGTGATTACAAGCATGAGCCCCTGACACCCAGCTTCCCAGTGATTCTTATACACAATAAAGTTTAGACTCCATTCAAAGTCACCATTTCCTCGACTTAGTTTTGACCTGTCCTAGAAGTAAAACTACTGTTTCTAACTACAAAGTCAAAATGCTAAGATCTGGAAGATAAAAAAAGTTGGGATTAAAGAGGCTGTCTCCCAAATCTGTTTGTTTGTGTGCTGATCCTGGGCTTGAACTCAGGGCCTGGGCTCTATCCCTGAGCTTTTGTGCTTACTGCATCATCTACCACTTGAGCCACAGCTCCACAGCTCCACTCCAGTTTTTGTGTGTGTTTGTTTTTTAGTGATTAATTGAAGATAAGTGTCTCACAGACTGTCGTGACTGGGCTGGCTTTGAACTGCAATCCTCAGATCTCAGCCACCTGAGAAGCTAAGATTATAGGCGTGATCGGAGAGCACCCAACCCCCCTGGCCATTTTTAATCATGCCATTTCCATCTCCCTGGAATTCCCCTCCATCAAATTCCACCCATCAAAACACTGCTCTAGTCTCCACAATGAAGCCCAATTAGATCTAATTCCCAAAGAACAGTATTGCAGATAAACTTATATACAAGACAAAGTACATAAATTTATTCCAAACCGTGGAAAGGAAAGGGAATCACAGAAACAGCAGGACAAAGGATGATCTAATGCAACAATGATACTCGCTTGATACTACATTGGAAACAAACTATAAACTAAATGAACTGTACAACTTGGGGAGTGGGAGAGTAGGAGGGGTAAGCAGGAGAAAATGGGGGAGGGGATAACAGTGTTTAAAAAGAAATATACTCGGGGCTGGGAAGGTGGCTCAGTGGTAGAGCGCTTGCCTTGCATGCCTGAGGCCCTGGGTTCGATTCCTCAGCACCACATAAGCAAAAAGAAAAAAGCTGGAAGTGGCGCTGTGGCTCAAGTGGTAGAGCACTAGCCTTGAGCTGAAGAGCTGAGGGACAGTGCTCAGGCCCAGAGTTCAGGCCCCACGATCAGACCCAAAAAAAAAAAAAAAAAAGAAAAGAAATATACTCAAAAACAAAAAAAAAATTAAAAGAAATCTACTCATTACTTGCTTGTGTAACTGTAATGTCCCAGTTCATCACTTTTACAATTAAATATATTAAAAATTTTAAATTAAGCCAGGCACCAGTGGCTCACACCTGTAATCCTAGTTACTCAGGAGGCTGAGATCTGAGGATCACAGTTCAAAGCCAGCCTAGACAGGAAAAGTCCATGAGACTCTTATCTCCAGTTAACCACTCAGAAAACCAGAGGGTGCTGTGGCTCAAGTGGTAGAGCACTCATCTTCAGCTGAAGAGCTGAGGGAACAGCGCCCAGGCCCAGACTTCAAGCCCAATGACCAACAAAAAATAAATAAATGAATAAAATTTTAAAAAAACAGTATTACAGGGCCTTCCTTGCTTCTCTCCTGGTCATCAGGACCCCTGGGGTTTCTATTGTTCCTTCTGGCTTCATGGGGTAGGGACATGCCAGGAAAATTTGCACTTAGGACAGCAGAGTGTATTCAAATACATGAAGTCTCCTTACAAGATGCCAGGATGCAAAGGCCAATAGTGTGGGTTCTTTCTCAAAGGTGAGATCTAGACCTAAGAGTAAAGGAAATGCCAGGCAGCAGTGGCGCACACGTATAATTCTAGTTACTCAGGAAATTGAGATCTGAGGATTGTGGTTCAAAGCCAGGCCAGGAAGGAAGGAATGTGAGACTCTTCGCTCCAATAAACTACTAAAAAAGCTGAAAGTAGAGCTGTGGGTCAAGTGGCGAAGTGCTAGCTTTGAGCAAAAGAAGCTCAGGGACAGTACTCAGGCCCTGAGTTCAAGCTGCAGGACTGACACGCACACACAAAAAGAGCGAGTGAGTGAGTAAGTGAGGAAGAGAGCTAGAGAGAGAGAGAGAATGACAGGAATGTAAAGTGGAAACTGGGATTTTGTTTTTATGGTTTTTCTGAATATACCCAAAGTACTTT